TAATTTTTAAAGATAGAAGTAGAAAACTAATATAATCCCCAAGTATATGAACATTTTGAGGACTATGAGGAAGCTTTGTGACCCTGCCTCTCAACACTTTGGCCCATACAGAATAATCAGAAAGTGTTTAAAGAATGAATGGACTGGATATTCTCCTTCCTCATTCTGCAGGCTGGAGGAAAATCCTGTAATCTGTCAGCATCACTGCCAAGTTTTTCTCCCTCCCTATATACAATTCCTTTCTCCATTCAGACAGACACTTTGCCCCCCCTCCTTTATTATGTTTATTTAGTCAATCCATATTTGTGATATGAGTACTATGGATTCTACTTATCTGAAAATTGACATTGTCAATGAGTACTATAAAAGAAAATATAAAATACACATTTTGAAAACTCTTATAAAATATAACAACACTGATTCTCTCAGAAAACATAGTAAATCCAGAGAGACAAGAATTGCTCAGGTATCATTATAAAATGTTACATAACCATTTTAACGATATTTTGTCTTGTCTTTGGATTCATTCATTCATTCATTCATTCATTATTTATTACCTACAATGTATTAGGCATTGTGAAAGTCTTGAGTTAAGCCAGCTAATTGCAGATTAATTAACTCAATTTATTGCTTAGAGATTATTTGTCAATCTCTTGTTTTTAATGACCATACTATTGATTTAACCTATGAAAGGTTAGATGCCTAGGTACAGCCTCTATATTCTAATATAGATCACTGGATGATAAGCTATGTATTAAAGGAGAAAAAAAATGGTGGAAGAAGAAAAATGACGGAAAAAATAATAAAACCAACATTTATTGAGTACTTACTATGTATCAGGTGTTGTGTTAAGACATACTATTTTATTTCATCCTCAAAACCCTATGAAATTTTCCCTTCATTTTAAAGACAAGGAAAATAAAGCCCAGGGAGATAAATAATTTGCCCGTGATCACACAATTCTTAAATTGAAGATGGGATTTGAACCTTTGCAAGCTGATTCTAGAGTCACACTCTATTCTTCCTTTGTAGTGGGAAGAAGACAAGAGTGAAGGAGTAGAGATGGATGAAGATGAGATGATGGGAAGCAAAAGTTATCATGCATCTTATTTTACTCACAGTTCTATTCAAATATGTTTCTTTTTCCTTATAAAACACTTCTTTAAAGAATTCAGAATGGAACCCTGAATATAGAAATGGGCACTGGATTGAATCCCTATCATACTAAGTTAGACTTCACACAGGCCCCATGACCACAAGATAGGCACTGAAAAGACATAAAAAGATGGTCCCAGAAGGAGGAGGAAAAAGAAGAAAAGAAGGGTCAGATTATCCTTCCTTTTATCAGGAGCTTCCAAATCTTAGCCCACTTAGCCCACTTTTCAACTAAGACTTTATAGACACTGGATGAAAATTAAGAATAAAGTTTATATTGGAATATTTGCCTGGTGAGATAAACAAGTGCTCAAAATAAAGGTATCATAGAGAAAAATCAGAAACCTGCATAATTTGTACAATATTTAGCTTTTAGAAGCCTTGGAGACACAATCCTAAAGAATGGAAAACAAAGTTGTATTTCTAGGTATACTAGACATGAATGTGTATTTAATAGTGGTCTATATTTCTATATAAATTTTCAGATACAGAAAAATATAGTTATTAATGTCCTTGGCACGAGTGATAGGCCATTCAAAGCTAAGGGAGATGATACCTGGGGTTTTCCAGCACATCGTAATACTTTTTTTATACTCATGAATAAGACAGTTACTCAAAAAGAAAAAACCCAGCTAGACTTGGAATCATATATTTTCTCATCCTTTTGTATTATATAATGATTTGAAACCATCTCATTCATGAGAAAAGTTGCCAAAAATTGAAGATGAAATGATTAAATAAACAACCAGATTGGATTGTACTAAGAAAATCTAACATGATTCACACTATAATCAATAGGTCAAACTGACATTTGAAAAATGTAACTTTCAGTTTTTGTTTTGGTTTAAAAAAAGGAGAGAGATAAAGAGACAGTCAGGATTTCTAGAGTGTAAATGTGTTCCCAATAACATAATAGTTGATCATCCTGAAGTTTTGATTGCCAGAGAGAGCTTTTTCTTGATTTTTCAGCAGAGCCTGAACTAGGATCCAAGAATAAACCTAAATATTGCACTGACCTTTTCAAAGTAGAAGCATTTGAAACAGATACCCAACCAATGCAAGCTATAATCTTTTAAAGGTGCAGTCTCCTACCAAACAAGAAGAAACCCAAAATCACAATTCTCTCTTCTAAATGATATGCTATGTGACCAGGTCTACCTATTTAAGTATTCTTTGAACATATAACTGGGCCCCATTTAATTTTTTTGTCTTTTTTTCTGATCCTCTAATTTTTTCTCTCTTGCTCAAGTCCTTTGCCACCTGATGATTATGTTTTGAAAACTATTTCAATTAATCATCCCCAAAATGCATCCCCACATATCAGCCTTTTTCAAACAATTTACTCTTCATGGTCCATCAATAAGTTGTAAAAACGAAATGACTGTTTTCACTGTGCTGTCATCTCCCTCTTGCCCCCCCATCCAAGAAAAATGAACAAAAAATACTTACAATGGTTCTTAGCCAGGAGCATTTTATCCCTTATTCACTAGTGGTAAATGAGTCAGATATGAGTTGGCCAGGAAAAGAGCTGCTTTACCCAAAATCCTAGTACAAAATGAGTCATCTCACTCCAAACACCAATATATCCTCCAAAATAATTGGCAAGAATTTCCTATAAAAAGAATCTGCCTTCACTCTTTTCCATCCATTTAGTTTTCTGATTTTTCTAATTTTTAAATTTCCTGTGTACTTATAATATTACATTCATAACAAAGGCCTAAGAACATTTCCACCTCTTTATCTCATTCTGAAAGTCTTTCCTATATTGAGTAGGGGGACAGTTCTAATAGCATGCCCCCGGAAAGAATAATGTTTTGTGGCTTTCAAGGGTTCTCTGTCTCTGACTCTCTCTGATGAAATTCATGCATGGTTCAATAGAAATGCAAAAGTCAATTCTAGAAGCATTTTTCTTTTCCTCTGCTGAAAAAGTAAGTGCAAAGCCATAGAATATATTTCAAGCAAAACCATTTTTCTTTCCATAAGCAAAATCAGTCAAAATAGATACAATGTGTCTAATACTGATAAACAAACATGAATCCAGGTCACAAGCGTCAACTCTGTTTCCCTATACATCAGAACATTCCCATTCCCATTCTCTCTCTGCCATCAGGGGAAGCTTAAAAATCACAGTGAACTAAAAATAAATAAATAAATAAATAAATAAATAAATAAATAAATAAATAAATCGCTGTGAACTGAAGCCAGGGTTAAGTCCCTGTAGATTATCAGAAGTCAAACACACCATTTACCTGAGGATAAGCAAGCATGCTTATAGAGCCAATTCCTGCCAAAGTGCTGAGATTTTTATATTACTTGGGGCCTATAACATAACTTATTATTCTTAATTATTCTAAGCAAAATTATTTACAATTCATTTCACCCAGGTTGGAATTTAGCTTCATTTCTCTCTATTAAATGAATTCTAAAGAATAGATATACTCCTTTTATATCCAGCACTAACAGATGTTAGTTTCCTCAGTTTTATAGCCCTCAGATGACAACTAACTGCATTTGGCCTTGGGAATAATTGCAACACCTTTGGATTATGAACTTGGTTTGGTTCTTAGCTGGGAACGGCAGGGGGTTAGTTCATATTATCAAAGAAGTAAAATAAGTTTTTCTTTATGTTCCAGATGCCATATGAAGATGTCTTCTAATACAATATTGTACAACTATTTTTTTCTATAGGTAATCTGGTCTTTAAGTACTTATAGTAAGAAAAAATACTTGCTTAAAAATGAAATCTCTTATTCAATACATCTCCTGCTCTTGACCAAAGCAAGATGTTAAATCCATTAAACTCTGAATATCCAGTAAAAGCAAGAAAGCTAAAACTGTTCAAATTTGTGCATTTTGGGGAAAATTGCCAACTAGGTACTAGGTAGCAGGATCTGTGTAATTAATGGTGATGTTATTGACGGAGGGAATATGATTTCCTTCTCATAAGCAATTTAAAACTGCAAGCTGGCACAGCTTTAGTAAAGCCTCACCTGATTCATTTTTAAATTGAGGAAATGTGACTTTGAAGCCAGCCACAGAAAGCACCAGTGTTAATACATGTGTACATTTGTGATGGCTTTGATTGTAGCAGACTTAAAAAAAACATCCTGAATGTAGCATTATCTGTATGATAGGATGATGAACACCAAAATGCACAAACCGACAAACATTTCTTAAACAAGCAAACCCAATCTTAGATTAACCTTATTTTTCTTTTCCTGACTGCTATATTCATATGAAGACTAATTGCAATCATCTTCTTATCATAAAGTGGAATAAAATCAGACTCAAGAGTCCACACATTCCTTTATACACACTCTTTTCTCCTTTGGAGGCAACTTCTATCTTTATCTAGTCCTTGTACCATAAGGGCAGTCACAGAAGGAGCTTGTATGTACTTAGGTTATCCAACTGACTAGTAATATGTCCAGCTTCCCCTCTCCTTTTTTCACTTTGTTATATCAGTAATTTTAAAATGATGATAGAAGGAAAAAGAATACCTGGAGAAACAGAGATAACTAAGGAAAGAAGTAAAACACACAAGTAGCTCTTTCCATAATGATCTGCACTTAAATTATCCAATGAGGAGTGATTTCTCTATGTATCTCATCCTCTCTAATTCTCTGTGAACTGCAATGACATGCTGCAGCTCTATGTTTCCCATGAAGAATGAAACAAATGAATTCTTGGTGGCCTACAGCATTTGCTGTGGCATCTGTGGCTTTGAAGAAGACAGGTGGTGAAAGTGGAGGAGACAGGTGAAGGAAAGCCTGGAGAGAGGTTCACAAATGCTAATGATGAGCCTGGATGTTACTGACCTTGACTCCCCCATGTGGGATCCATACCTGCTATCTTCTGAAGCAAAGGGCTGTTCTACATCTACCGTCAGGGAGGCCAGGGCAGAAACAGTCTCGGTCTCCTCCTGCAACTGAGTCCCAGCCAAAGCACAACCCCTTGGCAGAGCCACCATCCTTACTGACTTCCAGTACTTGCCTAGAAAAAAAAAGTGCATCATACTTTAATAGGAATTTTAGAGCAGTATTAATCAGAATACTTGTATAGATCCAATTCAGAGCAGTTAAGTTAAAATTCTCTGTTATACACAGCTGTAATTTGGTTTCTTAAATGTTATGATTTAGTCTTTTTCTCAATCTAAGAATGCCAAGTTGTGAGGTGCTCATGGCCCCAAGCCTGAGTCTCTCCTTTGCTTAGAGGGTCATAAAGTGAGGAATAATCCACGGTCTAATGAATTCACTATCAGACTGACAGCTGTCTCTACAATTAAGTAATAAGCAAACTCTGGGCATAGTGCCCTCTAGGAAACCCTCAAGAGACTAGGAGGTAGAAGTCTCATGGAGAAATTGAATGAAATAGTAATGTTAAAAACTGCCACTTGAGCTGTTACCTTTTTATTAAAAAAATGAGGTTAGAGTATTAAAGAAAAAGAAAAGCCCAGAAATGCCAGCATGAATTGAATGGCAACTTTGCCAGAACAATCAGGTTTGTTAGTCCTGGATGTTCTTTCTTTCTCAACTCCAGGGTGTGTACTAGAACAATAACTGATTTAAAACTTTAATATATGCACTGGCTGATGTTGGCATCTTTCCATATGTCAGACGGAAGTTTCATTTTTTGAGACAGGGAAGGGGAATGAGAGGAAAAGAGGAGGTCATTTCATGAGAACACGCCAGTGGAATAAATATGAAAGAGCAAGTCGATGGCCTTCTTGCAGCCTGAAGCTATTTTTTTGTCAAGTGTTGAGTAGTCCCAAATCAAAGCAGGACAATCTTCCTACATGGTGACATGACTTACCAGGTTAGAACTATCTCTGCAGCCTGACCAGTGAAACAGGAATTTGACATGGATTGGGAAGGAAGATAACTGGGTTCTGGACCAAGCTCTGCCACTGACCATCCTATCATGCTGGCAAGACTCTCTGGCACTTCATTTCTGCTTCTCAAAACAGGGGAATGATCTCAAATCCCTTCCAGCTCTAACTAACATTTTGCAATCGGCCTTTCCTTAGCTTACTGTTTCACAAAGGAATGGATATCGTGCTAGGGGAGGAGACTCAGTCTCCCCATCTACTTCCCATGCCAACAGAACCTTCTGACATAGTTGCCTACTACAACTTTACTTGCTGTAACCACCTATTCTGACCAAAGCCTGAAAATCATAAAGCTTTCAATTTGGACCACATGATAGCAATTCTAACTGTGAATAAACCCACACACTAACATTTTGAGGTATTGAAGACATAAAGATACTTCCCTCACACCAAGGAATTCATGGCCTAAATGATAATACTGTGTGGAAAAGGCCCATGTGATCCTGAGAGGAAATAAGTAGAACATATACTTATGATAACGGGAAAGTGAAAGAAGAGTTGCCAGAAAAAAATAATACTTGACCAAGTATTTGAAAGATCATCAGAAGTTAATCAACCTGAAATAAAGGGAGGTGGTGGTGGGAGGTATTCCTAGAAGAGGAAATAGTGCACACAAATGTGCAGAGACTCAAGTCTCAAGTCTCAAGTGTTTTGTTTTGGTTTTTTTTTGGGGGGTACAAAGTCCACTGCTAGGAACTACTGGAATGTTTGGAAAAGTCTTGAGTGTGATGAGTGAGACTGTTGTGGTAGACATGGGCTAATTAACATACAATCTTGAATAACATGTGAATAATCTTGGACTTCAACCTGTAGGTATAAAGGGGCCATTTTAAGCAGAAGAGGCAGGGAATCAGGTTTAAATTTTTAAAAGATCCCTCTGGACAGATCATGGACAATGAACTGGAAGGTGATGAGAGTGGTGGCAGGAAAACCAATTTCACATCTTGGCAAAAATCCAGGTAGGAAATAATGATGTCTAAAACTAAAAGGAAGTGACAGAACAGAAATGAGGAGCTGGACTAAAGAGAAGTTTAGGAAGTAGGCAATGAAAATGTATCTTGGGTTATTCTGTAGTGCACCCCTACCTCTCTTAACTTTGAAAGATGACCCTGAATTGACAATTATATTCCAAGACCCTAATTTTTCTAGATCACAATGTCATTATAATCTTCCTCAAGTTGGAAATACCATATACCATCTATAAGAGCATTCAGCCGTATTGTGTTTCACAAAATATTATTAAACATTATTTTAGCTCATGATATTCAGAAAATTAGTGATGCTGGATGACATCCTTTTCTTTTTCTCTAGAGTGACTAATATGGGGCCTCTGACAAACAAACAACAGGTGGCTGGTGGTTTATGGGTTAAATTATGTTTTGTACACTATAGGAAAAATACTAGCAGTACTGAACTCCTAATACGTGCCAAGGACTGTTAGGTGTTTTCACATTCATAATTTATAATTTCATTTAATCCTAATGATAATTATGTAGGCAATGTTGGGTAATCATTCTAAAATCACATGGATAGGAAGCAGAAAAGTTAAAATATTCATCTGGGACTGACTGACTCCAAAATATCTCCTACTCTGTACTCTGTTGTCCTCCTTTATTTAGTTCTCCTCTACCCTCTTCCTACTACACATTAAAATACAAAAACAGATGCAATATATAAAAATCTCAACTTAAAGGAATTATGTACATTGCAAGAGAATTATATATGTTCTCTGCTTTACTAAAGAAATGATATTTGGTAATAACAGGTTACCCTTGTTCTTCAGATATGTGACTCAGTTGATCCACCTTTTATTGACTCTATGGCATGGGTTTTTTGCACCAAGGGAGACAACCATGTTGAGACTAGTTCTTTTTACTCTTCATTTCTCATAACGTTATACGATTGCAAGCACCTGTTTACCAGGTAAGACACTGACGAAGCTACCATAAAACTGGAGACAAGTGCTCATTGAAGAGCATGAGTAAGAAGTCCACTGAAGATAGAACCTTGAACTAAAAGTCAAGATTTCCACATTAGAGACTACACACTAGACCCAAAGAAGTCATTTGGATCACTCTGGGGCACAATTTCCACATTTATTACATGATAGTGGTGGGGCTTGATGATAATGAAAGGGTTCTCCCTGCTGTAATTCTCAATGATTTTTCTGATCTCATGTTATGTCTTACTCTTGGATGTTAGAATGAATTTGTTCCAGAAGAAAAATCTTACTTTTCTGTGAGTCTTTAAACCCTTGAGGAGGTCAGTAAACACTTACTTTTAGATAATATGGCACATCTAGAATAACCACGGGCTTTAATTTTTAAACATTGTACTCTTTCTTCAAGAAGAGAATTCTTGGCCATAGACAAAACAAACATCTTTATTCCCCAAACACAATCAGGACAGAAGGTATGAATCATTAATAATGATTTTTCAGCAGAATGATAGCCTTTATATATGTGAGTAGTAAGAAAGATTTTAAATAGCTAAGACCTTTTTGAATAAAATTTAATGTGTATAAAATATCCTGCTAAGTTAAGATTAAATGTTGGAAGTTTGGTTTTTATCCAAATGTATGAGGTTTCTGACTCAGAAATAACCCAAAACTTTGAATTTAATATGGCCTCTGGCAAAGCCTATAAAAACAAAGGAAATATTCTACATTAATAATGCATTCATAGACTACTATCTCTATTTGTAAAGAAGAATAATTAAAATGGAAGTGGGTATAGCATAGACTGTGCAATATGCAGCCAATTCAAACTCCAAATTTATGGGTTATATTTTCACATGATGAGTAGGGTTTTTTTTTTCTTTCAGAAACATATGTGCTAGAAAATCATATCTGTTGGCATAAGAATAATACCCTTATTAGCACACAAGAGAAATGAACCAAGGTTTACCACTAGAGTATTTAGGAGCTGCTATTTATAAAGCAAGATATTAGTAACCAGCCACCACTGGGTTGCACTCCTAAAGCAATAAAACTGTCAAAAGAGAGGGGGTTTCCCATTAAAAATGGACATGCACACTCCTTTGGTCATATCCTCTATCCTTATTCATTTTGCCCACTATGTAAATCTCCCCACTTTTCAGCACTTTCTTTTATCTTTTCTTTTCTCTTTCTTCCTTCCTCTCTCCTCGCCTCTTCTCCTCTCCTTTTCCCTCCCCTTCTCTCCCCTCCTCTCCTCTCTTCTTTCTTTCTTTTTCTTTTTTCTTTCTTTTCCTTTCCTCTTTCTTTCTTTCTTTCTTTCTTTCTTTCTTTCTTTCTTTCTTTCTTTCTTTCTTTCTTTCTTTCTTTCTTTCTTTCTTTCTTTCTCTCTTTCTCTTTCTCTCTTTCTCTTTCCTTCCTTCTCTTTCTTTCTCTTCCCCCTCCCTTCCTCTCTGCCTTTCTTCCTTCCTTTCTCTCCATTTAGCCTTCACTATTCTGCATTTTTGTTTTGTCTGATAATGGCAAAGCAAAGAATGAATCTAAAATAAAGGTAAAAACTAGGTAATGGATGCAGACGGTCAAGAATTAGAGGGGAGGCCACAGATGGAGCGTTACTGGGTCAGATATGAGCCAGGAGATGACATACTGCAGGTACTGTGTAATCAGACTTCAGCATAAACCACATTGTTCTTGGTGTCGAGCAATTTGGAAAAATAAGTATTTGCTGACAAATGAAGGTCTGTGTTAAAAATAACCCATCTGCCAAAAGTTTTCCCAACCAAAGCCTCTGACACTTCAAAAGCCTCCCGATTCCAGAAACCTCACCCTTCCCTCATCTTTCTGGGGGCTAAGAATCACTTCTTAGACTTGTTCTTGCCATCTGAATAATACTGTCTTTTGTTATTACACACCATGTTCTCACAGGACAAGAAGCTGGTAGCAAACCTTTTCCAATCCCCCAAAACTTCAGAGATAATTAACACCTGGGACTAACAAGACACCTCACTTCATGGATTCTTCAGAGTTCAGAGCTTCTTAATAGTTTTTTAAGATAGATTTTTAAAGCTAAATGGAGAACTTTATTGGGTTCCAAATTATTGTATATATACAAAAATAGTGATGTATCGAAAGTTGGTATATCAATAGAGTGACCAGGTAATTTTTCATCCA